AAGTCCGCGAAATTGTGGTTCAGAAAGTGGTATGTTATTCACAATGGAATACGTAAATTTACTGCTTATCTTTTTGAGAGCAATTTTTTTGAGATGACGGTTGTGTTGTTGTTCTGGTATACAACAGAAAAAGCGTTTTCTGCCCAAAGGAGCTCCGCTTATTTCAAAAAAGCCGAAAAAAAGTTTTTTTTAGCTAGCGTGAAGCCTACTCTAACTTGTGAAGTAGCACTGATGCGTACGTATATTGTCTTTTGGTAGCTAATACAAAGGAAATCAACAGGCAACCAGTTATTTTCCGAGAAGTATGCAACTGAACTGGCGAGAAATTGCGCGTTTTTTCCTATACCCGGTTCTCTTCTTCCCTTTCGCTCCTCAACATTCTTTTTCAAACAGCTTCTTTTCTTTGTTTTCTCCAAGAACCTGCACCAGAACCACAGCCTCACCTACTGCCGTTGAGGCAAGTCCCAACCAAATGAAAGGCTTATGTCTTTTCTGCCCCTTATCCCTAGAGAAATTTGTAGGCCAGCAAAAGTGTTGCTGTATTTCTGCAGTTGCTCTAATTCTAATTCCAGACTTGTTGAATGGTAACTCGGATGTCAACACTGTCGGCCATCAGGCTAACGGCCATTCCTTGCAACCCTGAATATATTTGAAATTTCATGCACAAAACTTTGGCAAGGGCCAGCATTATACCAGGAACGAAAAAATTCGTGGTTTATCTTTGAGGAACTTACTATGTGAAAAAAGCAATACACCCTAACGACAATTTCATATTCGTCGTTGAAATTTTGGAGGACTGTTTGTGGAAACAACAAATTAAAAATATGGAAGTTCATCACTTCTCCTGGCTTCCTATAAAAACCCAAAATCAAATTTCTTAATAAATTGCTGTTATTGTACTATATAGGTTTTTCTAGCGAAACTTAATTCAATTGGGTAAGAAAAGAGCTGCCAGCGTGCCGAACTCCTTGACACCGCTTTGAGAATAATTAGACCATGATTATAATCTTTTCAATTTCTGATTCTTAAAGACAAATAGTCGCTGATCTAGAAGTACGGCGAGTAAGAAAAATGGTAGGATTCTTTGAGAAGGGACGGAAATACCATTGATTGCAAGGATATTGCTCATTACCGCCGTTTCCTGA